CCAATGTATCTTCGATAAATATATTACAGATTCTAACCGAATGAGAAAGCCGATGATTATTGGGACAAAACGGTGAACGTTTGTCAGCTTTCCATTTTCATTCTGACTTGCGGTCAACTGATCTTTCCAGAGTTCTATCTGTTAGCAGTCAAGAAAGTCTAACACTAAACAATGAAACAGGGGAAAAAGTAATAACATAGCATCAACACAAACTAGCAGTCAAAAGACGCTGTTGGAGAATTTCATCATGAGCTGACATTGGTCAGAGAACCATTGGAAAACAACCTAGGAGTACTGAACAGGTGTTTCGCCAGCCTAGTCTGGGACTTTTCATCAGTACGCACCCACCGGGGTTCGAACCCAGGACTTTCTGGTTCAAAGCGAGCTCTTAGTTCATTAAACCACTGGGACCCGATTCAGTGGCCAGTGCATGAATTCCAACTTTTGCCAATTCATGACATTGCGCAGCCACTTATCAATGTCTTCTTTGATGGCTAACTGTCCTCACCTTCGACCTGCTGTACTCTCCTGGTCATGGCTTCTTGCTAGAACCCCAGGTAAATACTTACGTGAATAGGGTCAGTCACTAATGAGCTTCAGATCAATTTTTAGGTCCTAAACTAAGACGAAACAGATGTCCAGTTCTCCCTAGTTTTTCAGGGGTTCTCTAACCTATGTCAGCTCATGATGAAATCCTTCAACCAGTCAAACAAAATCCCTATAAACCAATATCTGAAAAGATTATGTGACACTTATCCTTTCACATATCATATTACGTAGACAAACAACTACGGATATCAGTTCAACTCAAGTGGTACAAAACTCCTCAAAGGATGAAATACAATGAGTGACAGAGAATCTTCAGCGCCCTAATAATTATATCAGTCAGTTTTTAATAGACGTTTGAACAAATCGATAAAATGTAACATTCAATAAAACATAAGTTACATGATCAAAAGATCAAATATCAGGTCAACGAAAGGATCATTATAAATAGAAATTGATCTAATCATAAGGAAATCTGCCAGAATAACCAATCACAATCAAGGTTAATAGGAAAGGTAGTTATCTTTTATTCCTGGTGAATTCGCAAATCTCGCTTAAATCACACTGAAATTAAGACTGAACATGTTATCCAAAAGAATACTGAAAGCTTTGCAGCGAAATCATCCAGCTCAGGAAACACAACAAGACTGGGAATCATTCACGTGAACTACATATCTTCTCCCCTATATCACACTGCAACACCATGTTGTGAATTCCGCTACATATACATCATATGGAGAGCAAAATTTGGAAGGAAAGATTGAAAGTGGAAATAATAAGACGGGCCGCTTTAAAGTACCATCAGAAAGAATGAGAAAAGCTAAATCCACCATAGAAAATGAATAAATACAAAGCGTTAAAACATCTGCATTAGGGCAGTCAACCTGAAACTGATATATCATCTGAAGTAGTTCATTTAGTGGTGAGATGTTCGTCAGTCATGCCACAAGTGGTCCGGATTCGATCTTCAACTAAGGCACTCCTGAACTTTGCCTAAGCGTTAGTAAGCCAGGTAAAAAGTGGAGGTTGAAATTCAGTTTGATGGAGATTTGGTACGGGAAACTTATCCTGGACTAAATCACAGACTTTATTCCATGAATTATTGAATATGGGTTTCAGATAAATTAGGCAAAGAGCGTTTCCCCCTAAACTCTGTACAAAATCACATAAGTCTCAAATGTGAGGAGGAAGGCTGCAACCGACTTCCATTCCTAGACATACTTTTGAGTAGCATAGATGGCTTAATAAAGTGGTCGATTCATAGAAAGTCTATTTAGACGGTGTAATACTTATATTTTCAGTTTCTGTCCATTACAATGTAACAGAGGTTTGGTTAAGTGCACATCTGTACACCTGGTGCTATAGACTATGACAACAAAATATAGGTGGATGTACTTATCGAAAATAGATATCCTTTGAAGTTTTGCACCGCTGTAGAGGTCAGTTAGTTTCAATGCCTAGTCTATTCAGTCCCAAAAAAATGTCTACATCAGATTACGGCAGTAGTTTTGGTAGATCCACAATTAATATGATCATCCGTAAGGATTACTATGCAGTCCAGTTTTTAATTATCGAGAAAGCCAAAAACATACTTTACTACAATTATGAATACTGCACAGGTGACTATATCACATCTCATAGTATGTAATAATCTACATGTGTGTATAACCACACATACATAACAGGAAGGAGTAGTCGCGTTTCGCTTGTGAGGATGGAATAACAACATACTCAAATGACTTGAAAATCAAATGAGCTATGAAACCTTGGACGAACGCAGGTGGAAGACTGCTAAATTCCTCATCTATGATCAAAAACACTTAACTGAGGTGAATCACAAGATCGATATCAAGACAGCCTTCAAGATTATTGATTAAAGAAAGCCAGAGGCGCTTAATGAAATATGCATGGGCGTAAACTTGAGCCATCCCCTTCCTGTGTGTACAAAAACCTACCTTGGTTATCCTTATTTCATTATGTCACAAAGGGTAGTGTTAATTATTGTCCTTCTCATTCTTAGATCCCTTCTCACTTATTTGCCCTTCATTTTTTATTTAAACTGGTTTGTCAAGTCTACTATGTATGATCAGATTATTCGAAATATGCTGCGCAGTACATCACACGACATTTTTCAGATTATCTTCCTTCGTATCTTCGAATACAAAACTCTCCGGATTTCTTAAAGCAACTGATTCCTTTCAATGAGGATAAAGTTGCTCCTGAGATAAATAAATGTGTAGTTAGGGGGTGGTAACATTAAAAATAAGTTTGATAAGTCAGTTCGATTCGCATATCCAGACGTAATAAATCACAGTGAGAAGAAATGAGAATATCTGAGAGAAAAAACTCAAAATCTGATATGTACGATATCTGATGACAAAATGATGATATAATGCAGAGAGTAGAATTCAAAAGGTTGAAAATTAATTCTAATATGAAAGTCAAGCAAAAGATGGAGAAAAATTCAAAGTGATGCAATCGATGACCAAAAAGAGTTACTTAGGAGGAAGTTATCGGGGCAACTGAAGTTCAACGACAAATTCCTTTAGGATACTTAGATTGGGCTACAGCCGTTTTATCACCATAACTTCAACAAACCACTGAGGAAGACTTGGACTAATTCGGCCGACTAATGGTCTCATTATTGCCTAATAAGTACTATCATTTCTTATCCCGCGTCTGCTGTTCTGCGTCATTGGTTCAGAGATAGAATACTTGCCAAACATTCATGGAATTCGGGGTTCCATACTTGGCCAGGATTCGATACCTGGTCTACGCACTCACTGCTTAACCTCTACTAGTCTGTAGTAAGCCCAGTAAAGAGGGAAAGGTTGGGAGTGAGAATAGCCAACCCACCTCATAAAAATAAAAACGCGACTACTAAAACTCCAGAGCTCTACCTTGAAGCCCAATGTTCCACCCAAGATGTAAAGGAATCAAATATATCAATGAAAATTTTAAGTTATAGGAAAAGCGAAAAAAAACTTTCTTTTCGATGATTCATTTTCATAAGCTGTACATTCGTAATTATATTTAATGAAGCAATAATAAGACCAATCAGATAATGGTAAATTTGTTCTAGAAAATGCATTACATAATGTAAGATGTAATCTGGACTAATTGGAAATTAGAAAAGGGGGCAGAAGTTGGGATGACGTAATAAGTGAGAGGAAATGACTAGTCAGTATAGTCTCAAGGATATTTTCCAAGGATTTGACCGATTGGTTACAGGATTTCATCATGAGCTGACATCAGTTAGAGAACCACTGGAAAACCTGGAAGTACCGGATTAGGACGAAACAGCTGTCCAGTATTCCCAGCCGGTTTTCCAATGGTTCTCTAACTGATGATATCAGCTCAAGATGAAATCGTGTAACCAATCAATCAAATCCCTACAAACCAATAGTTGAATATCAATGAGATGCTCACTAGCGACTGTCCCCAGTCAGGTAGTGGTTCTAGTGGGACGTCGTGACCAGTAGGATACAACAGGTCGGGTGTGGGGACAAATGCTCATCGAAGACACTGGCTAGTAGTCGCGCCGCATCGTGAATTGGCAGAAGTTAGAATTAATGGGCTGGCAACTGAATCGCGTCCCAGGGGCCCAATGGTCTACGAGCTCGCCTTGTAACCAGAAGGTCCTGGGTTCGAACCTTGGGGGTGGTTACGTACTGCTGGAGAGCCTCAAACTAGGACAAAACAGCTGTCTAACAGTAGTCCCTGGTGGTTTACCAATGGTTCTCTAACCGATATCAGCTCATGATAATATCTATTAACCAATATAGTTGTGTAGAGTTGACAAAAACTAGTGGAAAGACGATAAAGTATTTTGATAAAATCTTTGTGAAAACGCAATGTTATTAATAAAAATAGTAGAGTGATAATAAAATAAGGATGATGAGAATAATAATAATAATAGTAAGCCCACATAATAAAAGGAAGCAAAATTATGGTGAGAACGTTACTCTGCCCGCGGTGGGGCAAGTGAATGTAAGTGGTGCTTTTAAACACAGAGGTCCAGTTTCAGACCCCGAATAGCCAATTATTCAGTTATGTACAGATGGCGTATTCGAATTTTTTTCCTGCGATATTGAAGGACTTTATGTAGCACTGTGAAACACTCATGCGAGGATGTTCGATGCCCAGAGTTGACAAGGTGTTCGAGGATGGAGCTACTAGTATTCTTCTTTTCTCCTCTGGCTACTCAAGCTGGGCAATGTTCCAGAATACTCTTGAGGACTTGACGATGAGTATAGCCGATATACTTTGCTCCATACGAACACGTAAAGTGAAAATTTGTTTTAACTTCAAATGTAAAAACAGTGAAAGCTAAGGTCCATCTGGCTGAATGTACATTCATTCAAGCAACGGACGTTTATATAAAATGTATACATACTACATATATATATATATACTGATGATGCAATTTGTTTGTCACTTTTCTTTGATACTAGGTGCCACATTGGGTGTAATTGTTGAATTAGATCAGAAAACATCAATTATTCTGTCAGCTTGTATTGCATTGATTTATACCCTCTTTGGTGGACTATACTCAGTGGCATACACAGATGTTGTACAACTATTCTGCATATTTGTTGGACTGGTAAGTTATCTTACTGTTTTACGTTATCCCATCCATTTTCTACATTAACTTTCAGTCTTTTCAGTTTTAATATTAGGAGTATTGCGGGATGACCAGTGTCTGTTATACTGAAACTTTTGAATTATTATTAATACTTATTATTCCCCCATTCGGGTCTCTGGTGGAACAAAGGACCTCAGCTGCCTATCGTCACGTCACCCCGTCCACTGAATTCCTTTTTAGTTATATCTATTATCATCAATAAGCTTTCACTTCTTCCCCATGTCATCTCCATCATGTCACACTCAAAGTGACACATTCCTCGTCGTTTCCTTTTCTAGTTCCCACTGAGGACCTGGCATACGATGTTACTCAACAGTCTTCTCAGCCTACATCCAGTCCACTCCCATTTCTTTCTGCATTTTTGTTAGGCAAAGGGTTCTTTCTTGATTCGTTGCTACATTCCCTTGTTGTTTAACCTTTCCTGCCAGCCAGCTGACGTCCAGCATACAATGAAGGCAGTTGATGTTAATCTGCAGCTGCCTTTTCGAAATGCTCTCCATGACGCATGCCAAGTCTTTGAACCATATAGAACTGGATATATTCGTATAGGAAATACTAATCTTGTTCCCTATTGTTAGTCCGTTAAATTTCCACACTCATTTCATAGTAATTAATGCCTGTCTTGCTTTTACGATCCTGTCTGGCCTTGACATTCACATCCTTGTTCCTTATAATTACCTAAATCAAGTGAGTAGAATAGGCGACTCCCTTTAGATTTCTCCTGTCGATAAAGATAGAAGCCTGTTGTTCTAGTTGGTTAGATGTCTTCGTCCCCTCTGTCTTCTCCATATTCACTTGAACTTCTGTAGTCGTCACTTCTTCTGTCAACCTCTTGGTTTCCTCCTGTCGATCTTCAGGTTTTCGCGAAATTAAATATGAATCAGTCGTGAAGTGCAAATCTTCTATGATTATTTTAACCCAGGCATTGCAGAGGATAGTGTCAGGTTTTTAGATTGTATTGGATGTTTCCAAGCAGCTTAGCCTTTATTGTCCCTCCTGTACGATGATTTTATTATTACTATTATTATTATTTTATTATTATTAGTAGTATTTTGGCCGTTATCTATGTTGTGCTACTTCAGTGTAGCTTGCTATAGCGTGCTTGATTTCTGATTCAATGTGTTGTATACTAAAGAACATGGTGAGCCTACCAGAGTTACTGCAGGAGTCTTTTTGTCAGCGCAGCATATTGCTTTCTTATCCTTTCCAAATTAAATTCAATGACAATCCTTTCAGTTTCATTTAAATTGGCTTGAGATAGCTCGTGTCTATTATACGAAGACAGGCTAAATATTATTATTTACTATTTATCCTATGGGTTCCTAGTAAAACACTGAAGAAAATCTGTCTTTCCCTCCCCGTCCTTTACGCCACTGATATCTTGATTCGTACCACCTGTAGCTGAGACGATGCCGTCCAGATAAGGGGAAGAGGTAACCTCCTTCAAATTTCTCCAGTTGATAGTAATTGATACTTGTTGTGGTTGGCTAGCTATCCTTATCACTCCTGTCTCTTCTATGTTCACCTGAAACCATTTCTTTGCTGCTTCTTTCGCCAACGTTTTGGTTTCAGTTTGTAGATTTTCGAGTTCGTATGACATCTGACATCATCCTCGAAGTTCAGATCTTCTGGGTCTTCCTGTTGGTTCAACTTATACCTGTCCTCTGGCTCCCTTTGGTTTGTTCTGTGATCCAGTCCATCAGAGTTAGGAAGGTCATCAGTGATAGTAGTTATCCTTGTTTTGTTGCTTTCTTCACTTCGAAGGCTTCTCTGAGACTTCCGTCGTCTATCATTTAACAAGTGGCATTTTCATCATTATATAGTTGCTGAAAAGGATCTGGAATACTCTCTGGTGTTGAAGAAGTTTTCATATTACTTCACGGTCAATGCTGCCTTTTCCATTCTCGACATTATTTTAGTGTTGCCTTTGCTATGTGTCATAAATCTAAAGAAATGAAGACAGGATTTAAAGTGAACGTAGAGAAGACAAAGGTGATGAAGATATCTAGAAACAGTATTTATAATATAGAATGGAACTCTCAGCATTTTTCACAAAATTGCAGCTGATTTACTCAAAATATAAATAAAATTAACCTCAGGAAATTGTCCACATTTATGGGATAAAGTCAAAAATATTCGAAGTACAAAATGAGAATAATAAATATAATAATAATGACAGTGAGTTTATTTCAAACAGTATTGTCGCTTCAGTTTGAAAATTTCAGCATGTTATAGATTATTGAATCTAATGTTCTGTTGATATAGTATGGTGCGGGTGGGGGAATACAAAATTAACAGTTATGACACAGCTTAAATGATGTTGACACTTATGAGAAAATAAACAAATAAAAACAAAAAATTGAGAGGATGATAAATATAAGAAATACAATAACAATAAAGGTTGATGTTATAAGAGTGGAGGAAATGGTTTATTTAGTAGTGCAAAAAAGGTTAGTTAGTTCATGCCTGACACTATTTTCATCACATAAAGTACGTGCCAAATATGGTATAGTGGAATTTGAATACTTAGACGTACGTGCATAAAGTCTTCTGAACAGACTTCTTGTTTTACGTGAGGAGACACAAGTTTGGAGCTGCGGGTAGAGTGGGTGCTCAGAGTCTGACAAAATTCCTTTAGCGAATTTGTTGCATGACATCAAGTGCCTATCAGTGACAATGTCAACGATATGGCCCAACGGGATACCACCACTCGCCCTACTGACTGACAGTCTTCAGAGCACTACGAAATATGACATAGTCTTTTTTAAGCAATCCAGGAAAGAATAAGTAAGGGTGAACAACTAAGAAGAATAGATAAGATGCATCAGTCGACAAAATGTGAGAGGAGCGGTTGAGTTACGCCTGAGTGCCTTAACTCCTTACTGCAAAACGTCAGACGAAATATTCTTTTAGAAATCGCTAAGACATAGGAAAACCAGGATAGGTCAGTAGAAAGAATTAATCCAAGATAATTAACTTCAGACTTGATTTCTATATCAGTATCATCAATTTTGCAACGTTCATAGAAGCCAACGGCTTCATTTAACTTTCTTTTACATAGGAAACTGAAATTAACAATCTGACACTTGGAAGGATTTATTTTAAAACTATTAGACAAAGACCATTCGCTAACCCCTGATAGAAAGCTGTTCATCTGGGAGTTAACAGACATTGAAATAGTTAAATCACCGGCATACTTAACAAAGTTCATTTCATCAGAGTATTGATGTATTCTGCATTTATTGAAAACTCTCATTTACTCTGAAAGGATGCGAGACCAGACGATAAATTTCTGAAACAACAAATCTTTCGGTAATCAAACTAACAATTTACTGATATAGTTTAGCAAATTGAATTATTTATGATTTTTATTTACTCAAAGATGAAGTGAAATCCTCGCATTCCTTTTCTTTTATGACTAAGTATTTACGGGAACTATGAACTTTAGAGATACACAATTCTGTTTATTAACTGCATCGAAATTGAAGAAAGTCATTTTATGAAGCAGTGTAGCTGCATAGGTTGAGGTGTCTTGGACATGCGTTACACGTGCTAAGCCATTACTGTTGCCATCACAACGTAGTCATTGTTGTTGTCTGAATTCAGGAAACCGATATCTGCCGATATCCTATATAAGCTGACAAAAGTCCCTTGAGATAAACAGTAATAGAACGGTTTAAAGACAGAAAAAATACGACTATTTATTCGCTACTGGAATCTGTGGTTCTATTCAAAAATATTAACATCAAAAACTCAAAAGTGCCTCAACAGTATCGTTAGGCAACTACAAAGTCTGGTTAATTTTTTAAAATACAAAACAGGTACTTAGGATAATAAAATATATAATATATATATATAATATAAAATATTCCCAAAAATGTGGGGTTGAAAACCTCTGTCTATAAGAATCACATACTAACGCTTCCCGCATACATTCCAAGCTCAGGATAAAACAGCACGTTATGGGTGTATCACGCACTCAACTAGAGAAGTATTAAAATAAGATTTCAAAGGTCAAAAGTAGCGCGAGAGGAAATCTGTTCATAAATCAATAAGTATGGAGTGACAGAAATACAAACAGACATGTAAAAATGAAATGTAGATAATTAGGTCTATATACATATCACCTTCCTCCTGTCAAAAAAGGGACATGAACATGTATTTATAAGATCAGTACCTCTTCTTCTTTGGTTCAACTTGAAAATGTACTGTCATGGATCTCTTGCGACTGGATTACCTTCAGAGCTGAAATTCTTCCCCACTAAAAATGAGGAATAATAAATTTCAGTCTCTGCATTTTTTCCCGAATCACTTGACGTTTATCTAAAGTTATTGGTAAAAAATATAAGATTTCAAGATGAAACAGTCAACTGTATTCTGCTACTATAGCCTGGTATGATATTGATAATGAAGTTAGCAGTACAAATAAAAATAAAAATAATATTTACATGTGTCCCGTTTCCCTTGGAGACATAACAATCCCAGGTTTAGGTTAAAGGCCAGGGAAGGAAGAGAGATTGAACGAACTTTTCTAAACACAATGAGTGAGATGAAAACTTTTTGTTGATTGCCTCAGCAGTTATGCTCAGCAGTCAAAGGTGAACAAACTTAGAGAACTGAGATGGCACGTTGTATAGAGTCGTAAAGACTGATTTTTTGTGCTCCATATCCATTGGTGTGCCATTGTAGAACTTCAGGTTGGTATTACGACTTCTTTACCTAATCAGGTTACACAATGCTCGAGAAGGCGACGGTGGGTTGAGAAGTGAAAATTTATAACCAGTTGAATCCCTCAGGTGGGATATGAGAACCAACACTCACCGATGACATGTGCTGGTGCCAATCGCGCAAAATATCGGATTAGCAGAAGTTAAAATTCATGGGCTATTGGATTCGCGTCACAGTGGTTGAATGGTCTATGAGCTTGCCTTGTGGCCAGAAGTTCCTGAGTTCGAACACCGGTGGTTACGTACTGATGAAGAGCTCCAGACTGGGACGAAACTGTTGTCTAGTATTCCCTGGTGGTTTTCACCGGTTCTCCTACTGATTTGGTGTTTTTCAAGAAGTCATCTTAATAAACATCAACTAGATGGTGAACGGAAATAACAACGATGCACATAAGGCAGAAGAAGTTCAAGGACATTAAAATAGAATAACTGTCTGTCTATTACAGGAGAAGGGGACAATCTAAGAAGGGATAAGACAAAGAGAGACTGTTAATATAATACCCACCATTAATTCTTTGGTGACGCGAGTTGCAACTTAGCAATGTAGGTCGTCGAATAGTCAAAAAGTCAGACACAGTCTAAAACTTCACAGGATTTATACTACTTATCTAAGTATTATAATTAATCGAAATTATGACTTTCAAGAATTTAATACTTTGTATGACATGTGAATTAAGTGATCCATATTCTCAAGTGTTGGCTTTTTGTCGGGATTTTATTTGATTGGTTGGAGGATTTGATCATGCGCTGACATCAGTTAGAGAACCATTGGAAAACCAGCCAGGGAGTACTGGACAGCTGCTTCGCACTGTTCATCAGTACGCTGAAGAATGGGTGCTTGCTGAAGAAGAGTCACAAACTAGGGCGAAACAGCTGTCCAGTACTCCTAGATTTATATTCTTTGTTGTCCAGGTATGCTGAGATTTCTGCTGAGTCGACCTAGTGAATGATTTCATCAGCATGACCGACTCCTTCTTGCTTAGACAAAACCACTAACATAAAAACTTATGCTACTCGACTTATATTATCGAGTCGATGATTCAGCGGTATAATAATCACCAACCATGGAAGTTATCCAGGGTTCGATTCCCGGTCGACAAACTTTAACCAGCATTAAGGCCGGTATAGAGGGAAGATTGGACGTAAGGCTAGCAACGTCATCCCATAAAGAATGAAACCACTGCTACTGGAACTTTGAAGCTATATCACTGAAGCCCTATGATGCACTCGGAATGTAAAGGAATCAGAAAAAAACTGATTTTCAATGTGGACTTCGTCAGAAATTTAAATCAGTTAGAGGATCATTGAAAACCAAGGACCAATGGCAAGACCATGAATGTGAGGAGTGATACCAACCAATGACATTGTCTGGCAGAGTCGCCATGTTTCATGAAAAAATTGGTGCCCTTACTTGAATCACCAGACTACTTAACGCAACGCATCATGTTTTCTCTAATTCCTATGGTTTTACACATTCAGTTATGACCTTGAATCGCAAAATGCACCCATGCACATTTTAAATTGACTTTAAACTACCAGTGGGCGTTCCTCGGAGACGAAGGGAAAATATCATAAGGGATTAGGCTGTGCTCCACATCTAACAGCATTGTGTCACATGATATGTTATAGACCGCTATTTTGCCTGGAGATCCTCGATGAGGACAAGATATTATGCAATAAATTATGCGGTTCAAATTGTTGCTCTATGCATCGTCATCACAGAACAAAGCATAGAATAGCAGTCAAACCCCTCTCTACTCCAACTTTATCAACTTCAAAAAGGTCTTCGACAGCTCAGCCTTGACCGAGAAGTAATTTGGAAACTGCTTCAACACTATGGAGTGCAGTGCCCAAGTCTTAATCAACTCCATTCAACAGCTGACTATATGACAATGCCAAGTGCCAGGCGGTCCACAACGGAAACCTCAGCAAGGCGTTCGATTGAATAAAGAATGGAGTAAGATGAGACTGGCTGGCTGCCTATTATCACCGATGATATTCTTAATTGCAGTGGACTGGATTATGCATCAGGAATACGCTGCACCATTGATAGGAAGGCTCTAGGAGATCTAGATTTCGCGTGTGGATGATTTATGTTTGATGTCACACAAACTCGAAGACCTGAAGGCGACAACCAAAAAAATAACTGAAAAAGCAGGCTGTGAAAACAGGACTCCAAATGTACGTACAAGATAAGAAAGCGAAGAATGTAACCAATCAACAACAAAAAGTACCAGTCACTACCAGCGGGGGAAATTCAGAATGAAGTTACTTCCTTCACTTATCTACGAAGTATCGTTTCAACTACAGACGGAGCGGATGAAGATGTCAAAGCCAGAATTGAAGAGACAAAACAAACCTGTATCACTCTAAAATCAGTTTGGAAATCTTCTACAGTCGGCACAAAGAACAAAATTCGCATTTTCAACACCAATGTTAAGTTAGACAGTTCTTCTATATGAGTAAGAAACTTGGCGCCCATTTCACGGAAAGCATTTTCGATAGGCTGCAGAATTTTGTCAACAGATGCTCACTTCACCGGCTCCATACTGGAGATCAAATGGCCAGCCAGAACGAATCAGCAACAAGGTGTCACGCTCCAAGCCATCACTCAAGTGGAACCCGAATGGGAGGAGATCACGCTTGGATGTGAGAGACTATCTAAAATCGTGTGTCCAAATGAAAGGCACGGCAGAAAAAAGAGAACAAAGTGGAAATGTATTGTTAAAGCCCTTTGTTCCACTCAGAGCCCTAGGAAACAGTAATAACAGTCAATAAAATGTAGAAAATTAAAACAATTAGTCCCTTTGATAAATTTGAATAAGGCATTTAGAAGACAAATTTCGCGAGATGATATCATTTCGTAGTTTATTTACAACCGCTTTACAACTAACATGGTTAACAATAATAAAATAAAGATCATGACAATTACTCAGTTAAATAAAAACAAAAGTACATACTAATGACCAATCATATTTAGATAGGTCAAGTAGTCCAGGGTAGGCGAAGATTGAAGTCTATTGTTTTTTGTATACACAGATTAGGCTGTATGTGATTAATCCAAAGTGCTTCCATCACCTTCAATAACCTTGAATTAGAGTTATGTGAAATAATTGTAAAACAGTCATTAATATTGACTTTGTGACCTGACATTCATAAGTGTTTTGCAATGGATGACGCTGGATTTCTATTCAGATTACTGGCATTGGGATTTTCTATATGATTTAGTAGCCATTTTGGAACATGTTCTTTCCGACGACATTGGAACATTCTGTTGGTTCTACCTATATAGGTGTCACCGCAGCTGCAGGTGAACTTGTAGATACAGTTTGAAGTAGAGTCCACAGAATTTCGTCATAGAATTGACATAGAATCTTTATTCACCAATGTTCCCCTCAGTGAAACTGTTGATTTTCTTTGCAATTACATCACAAGCAATGAAATAAACTTGCCTATTCCTGTAACTTACATCAGAGACATCATCGTAATGTGTACAGAAAATATAAGATTCACCTTTCAAGAAAAGGCATACAAACAAATCGATGGTGTTGCGATGGGTAGCCCTCTTGGGCCCCTGTTAGCAGATATTTTCATGTCGAAAATGGAAAGACAAATGCAAGGTATGCTTGGAGAATTTATGCTGTATAAACGTTATGTAGATGATACTCTCATTATTGCTAATAATAGTAAATCTATTGAAAACTTTATTACTCTATTTAATCATATTCATCCAAATATCCGAGTGACTTTCGAACGCGAATCGAATAACAAACTCGGTTTCCTCGATATTACAATGACCAGGAGAGATGATGGTACGATTCAGAGATCTATCTTTCGTAAACAGACATGGAGTGGACAATATCTTCATTTTACCAGTTTTGTTCCTATCCAGTATAAACGTTCCCTAGGGAAATGTTTTTTCTCAAGGGCCCGAAAAATATGCACGAGTGACACAGTGATGGATAAGTTTCGACATATACATTCAGTTTTATTAGCTAATGGGTATCCGGAAAACTTTATCACTTGTCACAGTAAGGAAAGACCGCATCTCGAAAAGACAGCTTCGGTACCAAAGAAAGCTCTCTTTATTAACCTACCATTCAAGGGTGACCAGATTATGCAGTTGACAGCTCAAAGACTCCGGTCAGCCATCAAACGCACATTCTACGCCGCATCTCTTTTTCTCACGTGCCGAACATTTTCGATCCCTGTACCTACGATTAAAGGACGAAATTCTGTGGACTCTACTTCAAACTGTATCTACAAGTTCACCTGCAGCTGCGGTGACACCTATATAGGTAGAACCAACAGAATGTTCCAATGTCGTCGGAAAGAACATGTTCCAAAATGGCTACTAAATCATATAGAAAATCCCAATGCCAGTAATCTGAATAGAAATCCAGCGTCATCCATTGCAAAACACTTATTAATGTCAGGTCACAAAATCAATATTAATGACTGTTTTACAATTATTTCACATAACTCTAATTCAAGGTTATTGAAGGTGATGGAAGCACTTTGGATTAATCACATACAGCCTAAACTGTGTGTACAAAAATCAATAGACTTCAATCTTCGCCTACCCTGGACTACTTGACCTATCTAAATATGATTGGTCATTAGTATGTACTTTTGTTTTTATTTAACTGAGTAATTGTCATGATCTTTATTTTATTATTGTTAACCATGTTAGTTGTAAAGCGGTTGTAAAGAAACTACGAAATGATATCATCTCGCGAAATTTGTCTTCTAAATGCCTTATTCAAATAAAATGTAGGTTCGTAACGAAATTGAAGTTTTCTTATTGCCTAACTGAACAGTGTTAGTTTACCGATTGCTATCATTACTATGTGTTTTTTTCCAAATAAGCCTTCTACTCCTGTTTGAAATGCCCGTTTTTTTTCTACAATTACAGTGGATCTCTTTACCATTTGCAATGACGCATGAAGCAACCGTAAGCATCAGTGAAACTTGGGATCAATGGAAGGGAAAAATTGAATCACTGGATTCATTTTATTATATTGACAATTTGTTAATGTTAATATTTGGTGGTATTCCATGGCAAGTTTACTTTCAAGTAAGTGTTTGTTTGTTTATTTCAATTGAGTCTCTGTTTTTTTTTGAAAATTTGGTTTAAGTCAATGTTCTACAATTTTGTCTTGTTATCTGTCTTGTTTTATCTTTCTTTTGTTTTTGTCTTTTTCAAACTGGTGTAAATGTTCTCGAACCCGTAGACGAAGCTGCTTAATCGTCCGCCCTATATAACTTGAACCACAGGAATAGTTGAAATGGTATATGCATGAATAAGAGCTAAGGTTAGGTAAGACATCTTTGAGTTGCTGGGTTCGAGAACATTTACCAGCTTGGTTCAGCATGGGGGGAGGGGAAATTAGGTGCATTAAAAGCTCGATCCTGTCAGATTTGGTCGATACTGGACATCGCACTGATATCAACACAGCTTTCAGGGTTATATACCGAATTCCGAAATCGTTATCACGAACAGTTCGCTTACTTCTCCTACACATAGCTGAAGCTGTATCAATAAGATCGAATAAACCGGAGGAACTTTGTATCCAAGAAGAACTCGTCCAGACGCTGTTCCTACCGTGGCCAAACTTGGATTAATGATACTTCTTCTCACCAAGAGTGCTTCTTCCTCTTAACCCTCTTGGTTTTTGTTTTTCCTTTGCTTGCTATTACAATCATTATTATTATTCGTCATAATTTATGCCCTTCATGCAAACATTCTCTCAACACTATTTATACTATCCGGACTTATCATTTGTGATATTATCTCTTTTCTCTAAATATGCTTTCACCTGTTTTACTTCACACATTGGTTATTTCATAATGAACCTCTCATTGGAGTCTTACTGTCTCCTGTTTAACACAGACCACTTTGTAATAGCCACTCACCGGACACCTTTTATAACCTTGAACTGACTTGTCAATTTTCCTATCCCAGACTCTACAAATCTATTATGACGACTAATCACCACAATTATTTCCCATTTTTCAAACTACCTAAAAACGATTATTTTTTCAAAAACCCCTCATTTATAACACTACAAATGGTACGAGATCCAAGCCCTAGGTTTCCTGCTTTATGGCATTAGTGAACTAGGCTTACCTGCTGTCTTCTCGGAAGGAGGTGTGGACCCACATTACCCAAATCTGCAGCTGGTCAAGCTATCACTGAACCATACGGACTCACATTTATGTTATTCGTCACTTGTGAGTGATCAGCACTATATGTTTGGTTCCTAATGGTGTCGACTGAATTGTACCACTCGAGTGTTAGTTATCTTAGAATACGTAAATTCAAATTAGATTTTCTCGTCGATCGATTGGACCAAAGTGCTCCATATCAGGTTGACATGTCGACTTCTTGTTCAGTTGCTTCGAAGACATGTGGTCATGTAACTTGAAGTCTAGGACTCGTTTTTCTGGATTCACCCATTCCAATCAATCGACGGAAAAATCTAAACTGAACTGAACAATTAATAAGACCCATTGCACAAGAGGCAGTGGCTCTCGTGGCCCAAGTGGTCTAGTGGATAACGCTTTGGCGTTTGGAGCTATATTCACTGGGTTCGAGCCTCGATGGAAACATGGTCACTCACTGGAGTGTGCAGACACATCCAGATAACGAGTCCGAAATAGGAAAAAACGCACATCCTAGATTCCACTGCTAGTCACCATCTACCAGTTGAGTTCATGTTACCTTAAAGTGTTGTGGATTTATTTATATGATTACTGATGACACTACAAGATGCTCTCGACAGTTAACCAAATCTTTTCTAATTGATTATTTAGACGCTGACACATGACTTGCATACCAATAGTTACTTGTAGTGATAACTAGAAATACATATGGGATACTAAGTACCTCATCCTGTTGCGTATGCTGATGACGTAATTTATGAGTAGTATACAGATAGATATATAGATAGGAATGTCATCTGTGCGAATATGAATTAGTGGAGACATGGTTTCAGTGATGAAGGAAAGAAATGAGCGGTCCTTGTGAAACAACGTGTAAAACCTGCAAGGAAGACAATGTAACAAGATACCAAAGATATGCGGAAACTATGATTCTAATATATGGCAGAGGTATTTCCCTATATCTGTACTTTTGAGTTGTTAAATACGCTTGTGTTTTACTGTGACAGGAATAGTAATAGCAGTAATAATAATAATAATATTACCCAAATGTTGGTTTACAAAAATTCGACTGGTTACAGGATTTTATCTTGAGGTAACATTGTTTAAAGAACCATTGGAAAACCACCTGAAGGTACTGGACAGTTGTTTCATGAGCCCAGTTTGGAACTCTTCATCAGTACGCTCCCACCACATCCCCATTCTCATTCTTGCTTTCATTGAGAGAAGACACATCGGCTGGCTGGCTGACTGACTGGCTTCCCGAAGGCTTTCACCATTCCGACTGCAGCGAATAAAATGATTGTTATTTGAATTTTCTGTATTTTTAACGTACTTTTTGTTCGTACAAGTTTCTCCAGCAGTTTGATAGCTTATGTGGTGTGGAGTTGCTGGCTCCACGCCCAACTCTCTCTGTCTTTACCCGGCCTTGGGACCAGCCAGAAAACTAGCAATCTGGCTAACTAGGAGAGATTACGCACCCACCACTAGGGTTCAAACCCAGGACCTTCTGGTTGCAAGGCAAGCTTATCGATCATTAAGCCACTGGGATCAGATCTAGCGGACGATAACCAGTAGGTTGGGTGTGAGAACAAATACTCGCCAGCGACGACATTGGCTAGTGCTTGCACCATATCGTGAATTGGCAGAAGTTGGAATTCATGGGCTGGCAACTGGATTGGGTCCCATTGGCTCCCAGGTGGCTTTCCAGTGGTTCTCTAACCGATGATGTCAGCTCATTATGAAATTCTGTATATAATAATATTATGTAATTACATATTAATTTGTTTATCGGGTGTGCAGTTTACCTTCTTCTGTTTGTTTGATTTTACAATCTAACATCATAGCTAATTCTCCTTGTTCATTTTCTGATTCAAATGTGAATTGTATTCCCTTCACTAGTGAGTTTATATGCGTCAAGAAGCTAGAGATGTGTTCTGTTTGTAACACTGTGAAAATGTCCTCCACATATCTCCATCATATTTCTGGAGTTTTGTGTGAGTAGTGCCCTGATATGATTATGAGCAATAGTTTGTGCTGGAAACGCGGTCATCAGTTAGTATTACTGTAAAACACAGTGTGATTTTATCAAAATAACTACTTATCGATAATGGGGTGATTTAAAACTTGTTGGTATTTAAAATGCGAGTCTTGTTTCTAATGTTCAGTGAGTGTGGCAGAATTCCACATTGATTTCAGAATAATAAAGACGGCGCTTACTTTTCCGATCTTGATATCTCTGATATCTTCATCCATGCTTTCCCCTGTAGCTGAAATGATTCTGCCTGGTTAACCGGAAGTGACCTGCTTCACATTTCTAGGTGCTGATGGTGATTGGTTCTTGTTATTGTTCTTTTATTACATATCGTCATCATCTCTGTCTCCTCTATATTCGACTGAAGTCCTGTCTTCACCACTTCATTTGTCAACTTGTTGTTCTGCCTCGCTGGATCTTCGAGTTTGTACTGCATCCACGAAGTCCCAATCCTCTGGGTTCTTCTTGTTTGTCCCGCGACTTCCTGTCTTCTTCTCACTCTCCATCCATCGTCTGTCATATAATCCATTCCACCACAATTAGCAATATCATCGAGGATAGTAGGCAGTCTTCTCTTACTTCCATCTTCACCTCAAAGGCTTCGCTGAGTTTTCTGTAGCGAAATATTACTTGACATGTGGCATTATCATATAACTGTTAAATGACGTCGATAACAAATGTGAGTGAGTTAGGCAAATTACGATAAACTGCTGATGTAAAAGTCTAGTTCTCCCCCTCAATAATTTGGTATCTGGATCTTCCGATGTCACAGTTTGATTTAATTATTGTTGGAACTATCTGAGTGATATTCGCAGTGAAAATCGTACTAGCAGTCCCCATTCTATGTCAAGCACTGTAAAATAGCAGCAAAATCATCTGCTGTTGTATAACAAAAGAACATTTCACAAGTATTTCAGTAACGACTTGCGCATAAATTCACGACTATATAATAATGCATTTCTTAAAATTATTGTTATTATTCCCTTGGGTTCCTAGTGGAATATAGGGCTTCAACTACACGTCTCCACTTGCTTCTGTCCGCTGCTCTACTTTTCACCTGCATCCATGTTAGTCCATACTGTTTCAGCTCCTCGTCACATGATCTCCTCCATGTCACCCTTGGACGTCCCACTCGCCGCTTCCCTTTCAAGTTCCACTCGAGCACTGGCCTGACGCGCGATGTCACCCAGCGGCCTCCTCAGTGAGTGTCCAATCCATCTCCACTTTCTCCTGCATATTTGTTGAGCGATTGGTTCTTGTTTTGTTTGTTCCCATAGTTTCTCGCTGGTAATTCTTTCCGGCCATTTGATCTTCAGTATAGAGCGAAGACAGTTGTTGATAAAGGTCTGCAACAGGCTGTTGGAAATATTCTTTGTGACCTGCCAAGTTTCTGATCCGTATAGAAGAACTGACTGACTTGACGTTTGTATTGAAAATCCGAGTTTTGTTATTGATGTGGAGTGACGGCACATCGGCTGACTGGCTTTCACCAGCCTGTGTCATTTCACTTCCCCGATTCCAGCGAAAAATAAGGTTATTGTTTATATTTTTAGTATTTTTAATATATTTATGCGTTGAAGTTTCTGTAGCAATTTGGTTAAGTCTTGGGAGTGGAGTTGCTAGCACCACGCCCCAACCCTCCCTCTTTATCCGGGCTTGGGACCGGCTAGAAAACTGGCGAGCTAGTAATCTAGGCGAGGTTCATTTCTTAAAATAGAGTTAAATAATTACACAATAGATAAATTTTGTGGATTCGTGAAGTGATCACTGATACCTTTGTGTTTAAACAACTGGTTCTTGGTTCGAGACCCATCGGGAACACCATCTTCACTGAGATGTAAGAATGTGCAGCCTGACGTACCCCAAAACACAGTGAAAAGCTCGATGCGAGACCAACTGCTGGTCCCCATCAATGAAATAAATGCTGCTGAAACCACCTATGATATCCTTAAAGAGGTAGACTGCAGCCGTTATAAGGATAAAACTTGGGCACTGTGGTGGTAGAGTATAACAGCAGTATAGATAATAAGTTATTCTGATAGAACCACATAGCGTTATACAGTAATATTTACTGATGACCACGTTTCGAGCACAATTCATCACCGCCCAACATCATCATATCAAGGCACTCACTCACACAACTTTCTTGCTTCATTTATATACATGAGTAAAAATTGGTATTGGTCGAAGATAACATGAGTCGCCTGAGTCTCTTAACTTAGTTGTTAGAATGTCACACGAGTGGTCTCAAAAAATAAAATGACACTCCCTCAAAAGCACAAGATAACAGAGAAACGTGATGAGTTGACTTCCTAGGGTAACCGGCTACCTGAACAGCTTCCTATAGCATTCGTTCCTTCAGGATATTTGAGCTAATATGCATCACAGATATGAAGTGAAGATTTTTCAACTTTCCTAAATGCATCCTTTATGTTCGCCAAGTTAATGATGAATGCTGATCATTCTCATTCACCTCACTGCGTGAAGGCCGCAGAAGCTATGAACGTTTGATCATATAAGAGCATTTCGTGGAGAAAACCAAAATCTAGCCATCAGATTAGTTAGAAAAAGAATTTGCCAGTTCATCAGTCATCAGTCCCTGACCATATTTAAGTATTTTTCAAAGCGACATTTAGAAGACAAAAGAAAATTTGTTTAAAGAATATTTTTTTCCATAATTTCCTCTTCCTGCCCTACTATTATATATACACACACAGAATATTCTAGAATAATCACCATTAACAATGTTGATGTATTTTTTAAATACTATCGATTTTTTAAGATCGATGAAATTACAATTTGAAGTGAATAAATAAAGCAAATACACCTGTTTATGCCTTGTAATCGCCATCTGAAGTGGGTGAACTCGACACATTCTCTTTCAATTATTGGTTCTCAGGGATCTCATTTATTAAAGTTTCGATTACTAGCTGAAATCATTTAAAGAACCATCGGAGAACCAGCGCAAAATACTGGGCAGCTGTTTTGTCCTATCAGCAGCAGTATGCACCCATTGATGGTCGGACTCAGGACCTTCCGATTACAAGGCAAGCTCCATGACCATTCAGCCCTGGGTCCTGATCCAACTGCTCATGAATTCCAATGAAAGTGTGTTGTTAGAGCACTACTATGTTATACTCAGAACCTCAGAGAATTATAATAATAACATTACAATAATAAGGTGAGAAACGGAAGTTAGTCAGTTGGGTCTCGCAACTCCATCGACTGAGACGACTATAACACTTGTTAAACTGGACATGTACATCAAAAAACATCCATCATTATATACTACTCATTGTAAAATACTGCAGAGTCCCAAACTAGGACGAAGCAGCTCTCCAGTACTCCCTGGTTTTCCAGTGGTCCTTTAATTGATGTTAACTCGTTTTCGTCAAATGAACACTTGTAAAATCATCGATTAGATCTGATTTTCGTTTCTAATAAAGCCATATTTCTTTTTCTTTCACTTGATAAAATTAGCGTGTCCTGTCTTCAAAAACTGCAGATCGAGCTCGCATTCTAAGCTTTGTAGCATCTATTGGATGCTTTGTAATGGCGCTCCCATCGATTTTAATTGGAGCTGTTGGAGCAAGTACAGGTATGTTTATTTATTCTCGTATATTCTTTTTTTCACTTCCAGTAATTTTTATTTAATCCCTTTGCGTTTTTAAGTGGGATATGGAGCTTCCAGATTCAAATCTGAAGTTACATGAGCAATGGTGTACATTTTTTATTAGTTAGCCTAGCGTCCAACCTCCTCTATATACCCGGGGTTACGATATTCTGAGTGAGACTTAGCAGTGCGTCGGCCAAAGATCGAACCCCAGATAATGTGCGTGGTTAATGGGTATTCTACCACTGAGCTACAGAAGCACTCGAGTGATTTTTTCCCACCTTTAAAGTTTGAAAAGAATTTGTTGATTTTTAAGAGACTATAATCAATAACATTTAAAGTACTACTATCTCTTGTATAAAGGGGTATAACGCGATGAGTTATACTGAGCCTATGTGTACAGTGTTAGGTGAGGAAGGGAAATCGATCAGCGAGGTTGTGCAGCTTCATGGCTGAGTCATGTGGTGAACATGCCAAGCCATCGCCTTCCTAAACGATCAATATTAGCCGACATATGATCAGGTTGGAAAAGATTTAGCGGGGTGGTCAAACCAAAATGGACATATGATTTGAACCAGCTACGTAGGGATGTGCAGACGGCCTGGTTAGGTTCCTAAGGATTCTAAGAATCAACCATTGGAGACGATCGTTGATACTACTCAAAATCGTTGTCAGTAGTGCAGACTCACTCATTCACTCTTTGTAATCTACTGGATTCCTTCCCTCAGACCTAAATTACATTCCGCTAACGGGTCAGTGCTTCTGACCATAATCTGAGAAAAATCCGACCTAAAGCTAATCTACAATAATGTAACTTTTTGTTCTGGAAAATATTCAAGCTTTACAGAAAAAAGATTTCTCAAAAAGTCAACGTTCCTTAGAAAACCAATAAAATTTGGTAAGGAATCGACATTTGTTTCATCCTGATTTCAGACCCATCAGCAGCGGGAGCCTGCGATCCCAATGGAAATCGAATCTAATATGTTTAAGACAACAGCTGAGCATACTGACCACTGACCGTTAAACTGTAACCTAATCATACCTTAGTCTTATCAGCTTCCCAGTGAACCTTTGATTTCTATTAATTACTTACTTGACGTTAGTTCGTGATGAGATCCAGGTGGTCGTTGATTGAATTCCAGAAAATGTGAAATCTTAAAGTAGTTTCCGACCAAATTTACTTCCAGCTTGAAAAAAATGACACTCCACAAAGTACTTCGAGAAAATAGCAGTAAAACTTTTGAACTTCGATCTATTCTACTTTAATCAGAATTCAGTAGTAATACTACATTTGACAAAATAAGATTGGAAATTCATTTTCTCCAGTAAAACACTGAAACATTTTAAGCTCCATTAATCCGTTTCTGTTGCTCAACTAAACTTGATAGCCCAACAACGGAAGGCATGAACTTATTGCCAGTTTAACGGTATTCTGTCGTAGTTAAATCACTTTTCTAAGTGAATGGATGCGTTTTGCAATTTGTTTGGTACCGGGTAGATGATGATGAAGAAGAATTCTTCAGTGCTGTATTTGTAGCCGGCTTGGACCAGGTAGTCCAATATCGAACTACTGACAGTTTTTACTACACCTTTATTTAGCCATACCGGTAGGTTTTCTCGAGCTAGCACGAAAAATCAAGTTTCTAGAGCAACGGACAATATAACTCGCTCCATGACAGGTGCAGTTGAATTGGTAGATACAATTAGAAGTGGCTAACTAGTTTAGGTACTTCATTTTACAGCCAAGGAATCCCCATCGGCCGTGTAGAAAATGTGACATCTAGTTTATTATTAGTGTATCATTATTGTTCCCTTGGTTTCCTACTGGAATATAGGGCTTCAACAACACATCTCCACTTTCTTCTATCTTCTGCCATCTTCTTCAGCTGGATCCACGATTGCCTACAGTCTCATCTCTTCCTCACACGATCCCCTCCACTTCACCCTAGGACAAGCCACTCGTCGTTTCCCATTTGGATTCCACTCGAGCAATGACTTGCATTGGGCGCGATGTCATTCGATGGCCTCCTCAGTGTATGCCCGATCTATCCATCTCCATTTTCTCCCACATATTTGTTGAGCGATCGGCTCTTGCCTGTTGGTTTATTTCCACAGTTTCTTGTTAATAAATGTTTCTGGCCATTTGATCTGTAGTATGAAGCGGAGGAAGCTGTTGATGAAAATATTCAACAGGCTGTTAGAAATCCTTTTCGTGACACGCAGTACAAGTTTCTGGCCCGTACGGAAGAACTGACTGAGTGACTTCACATTTGTGTTGAAAATCCGAATCTCATTGCTTATGCTGAGGCGGAGTGCAGAAAATTTCTAAATTGGTTTCAGATTGACGAAGGCGTATCTTCTCTTTCCGATTTTGGCTAATTTTGATATATTGATCTGTTCCACCTGTTATGGTTGAAATGATGCCTCCTAGAAAAGCGGAGGAGGCAACCTCAGTTAGGTCTCTCCCGTTGATGGTGATTGGTGCTGGTTTTTGTTGTTGTTTTGGTTGTGGTTCATTGGTTATCTTCATCACCTCCGTCTTCTTTGTCTTCACCTTCAGTCCTATCTTTGCTGCCAGCTTATTTAGCCAGCCTTTCTGCTTTTCGCCTGCAAGTCTTCGAACCTGTGTGACACTAGACATAAATCACTCTCACGAGAAATCCAGATCTTCTGGAGTCTTCTTATCGCAAGTCCAGCGTATTCCTCCATTCTTGCTTCTCTCTTCATACAGTCTAACGCATACTTGAGTCCACCACAAATGAAAATACCATCGGTAGTAATAGACAGCGAGGTTGACATGTAGTTTACCAGCATTAAAAGTTCTTTGAATAGATTTTCTTAACTTGTTAGTGATTGTGTAACTAGGTGCCTCACCCTTGAATTGCAATAGTATATATAAAGGCTTCTTATTTACAGATGGAGAATTGTCCTTTTCTGCTTTCTTCGTCATGTGTTTCTTTTGTTATTCACTTTAAAAATAACCTTTAAACTTTTATTAACAGACTGGACGAAAACTGGATACAATACAACAAAAGCACAACCGGATTCCCCAGAAGAAATGAAACTGATTCTACCCTTAGTACTACGATATCTATGCCCCGACTATATAGCATTTATCGGTTTGGGTGCAGTATCAGCTGCTGTCATGTCATCAGCTGACTCATCAGTCCTATCAGCTGCATCTATGTTCGCTAGAAATGTTGTCAAAGCAATATTTTGGCAGTCTGCTTCAGAGAAACAAGTTATCTGGATAATGCGTGCTAGTATCTTTGTAATTGGTGCATTTGCATGTTGGTTAGGCATAAGTGTTCAATCGATCTATGGTCTGTGGTATTTATGCTCAGATTTAGTCTATGTAATATTATTCCCTCAACTGATCTGTGTTCTATATGTGGAATATTCAAATACTTATGGTTCGTTGTTAAGTTATCTAATTGGATTGTTTGTTCGATTAACAAGTGGTGAAAGTGTACTAGGACTGAGACCAGCAATTCAATATCCATACTATGTAGACGATCCAGCTAATTTTTATCAACGTTTCCCGTGTAAAACATTTGCCATGTCTACCACACTGATAGTTATGATTAGTGTATCATATGTTACCGATAGATATTTTCGATCAGATTCAAAACGATTAAAACATGATATATTTCATTGTTATAAAGAACGTCAGTCATTATCTGGAACTGTATCGATTGGTAATCGTTTTAATCGTCCATCGTTGAGAACGACACATATACCACGTAGAGGTGAAAAAATAGAAGTTAATGATAATAATAATAATAATATTAACAATGATACTGACAATCATGTCAATAAGAGTAATCCAGAAGAAGAAGAAGAAACGCAAGCAATGACAAAAGAAACACCGAATACTGAAAAATTATAATTGAACACTGATCCGTAAAAAATGGTTGGTGCTCATGTTATGTTAGTGTACAAATACTAATTATCTGAAGATGTATTGATAAAGCTATGGTATTATTAACAACTATAACCATTACTGTTAATATTATCAATGGTATTTACCACATAAACGTATGAGATACATCAAAAGAAAAACTTGGGAATTCAATGTCCAATAGTTACTAGAACTTCAAAAAATGCACAACTGATTCATCCTTTAAGATCCTTCTTGAATCTCATTTTCACAAGTTATTTACTGATTTTTTTCGGTTTTGTTATCAAAGGATTATTTATTTACTACTTTTATTGTATTTCTTATTCTCTTCAATACTCATACAATTAGTGTACACACACACACACTCTTACATGCATCCAGATGAAGGGACAGATGAGATTTAAAGCTCCATGGTTGTGAAAATTCAAAAACTGAGTACAAATTCTATACCGTGTTGTGACATTTTTATTTATTTATTTATCTATTTGTTAGCTTATTAATTTTTTCAACATTTTTCAGATTTTCCGGATTTCGTCTTTTCATTTGTATACTAATTACTTGATCTTTGATACTTTTATTTATGTTCAATTATTTATCTTTTTATTTATTTATCAGTCTGTGGGTTGTGACAAATTCATTTTTAAACGTAACGCTGTTTTTTAAATGCCCTCCACTTTTTACTTGTTTAAAACAAGCATATGCAGTACTCAATATGTATGCATAAATGTAGTCAGGAGCACACACTTATCATATAACTGACTATTTACCAGTGTTGGATGTCTTTACAAAAAGTGGTAAAGACTCTTTTCAACATCTCTTTTGACAATCTTTACTATTCATGTTGATTATATATATATACCATGTGTAGACATTTTTATCTCCTGTTCGTGAATGGTTGTGACTTTTTCTAAGCGGTAATAGTTATCTTTCTGCTCAGTTATTTGATTTGTTGCCCTCTTTGATATACATATATGCATTTACATACAATATAACCGATAAAAGATCAGTCGAAATACCACACTACTATTCATATTATTATTAGACAGTTTATAAATTTTACTACTCTGTAATGTTATATACTTATAGAGTAGTGATATCAATCGGTTGTGTTCAGAGTATAATTTACCCTTTGAAAACACATTATACGCATACACGCATTCACATACATTTACAAATATATACATATACATAGGCATATACATTTAACCATAGAAATGTACATCACCCATCACCCATTCACTTGCACCAATGAAACATACACACACGCAGAGTGATCTAAAAGTATATTTATCTTCGTTAAAATATAATGTTAGTAAAGATTGTCAATTCTTTTTCTATTTTAAAAATGATACTATCCTTCGTAGTGTTATTTAAATGACTGCTGAAAACCATGGGGCACCCTTTAATTGTTTCATACACCACAATCAGGGGATGAGACTACACTAACAATCTTTTTAACCATCTTCCGCTAATTCTCAGTATGACACAACCTTCAGCTAGTTCCGTAGGAAATTGTCTGTCCTTGTAACCGAGATGGTAGACTCCACTCTCCATAACTCCTCATCCGGACCACAGGATATCTGTCGTAAAGCCGATAGTGATCAGAAGGTTGACGTTCAATTGTTTTTTTTTGGTTTATAGGGAAGCACTGCTCTGTATTCCATCTACGATAGTCAATCGTTTGTCTCAAATGCTTTTGACGAATGGAGTGTTGTGGTTGACGGACGTCTGAAGAATCAAGAAAGCTTTCCTGTGGTTACCTTCTCGGTGACTGGTTACTTACACTCTCCGACAGGTTTCAGGCTTATTTACTTGTCGTATTTATCCAGAAATTTCTATCATGAATGTTATATGACCAACTACCCTGATATACTGATATTTTAAACATGTATATGTAGATGATTCCCCAAAATTATTAGCCATGGCATTCATCACCCGACATTTTATGCTAACCTTCACTCTTTGTGTCGACTTGCTTAGCTGAAATCTCGAGGCTCGCATCCATGCCATTCTGCGAGCTGTCGTGTCATGCAAGGTTGTACCTGCACCATTCCTAGCTACTTAAGCAACCTTCCTCGTACTACGATTCTGGTCCTGAAATATACTTCGTGTTTTGGTCGGTCGATTTGGTATTTTCATTTATCTTTGGTTTACTTGGAATGAATACTATATGAGTCACGGGCTTAGAATCTTACCGTGAACGTCAACACCCTTAGTCTCTAAAAGCACTTGGCTGCCCGACAACTTTACTTGGTGTCCAGACTGCCTCTGACGTCAGCCAATTAAGGAAGGGAGAATGTCATACCTTCTCTTGTCTTGGGATGTATTCAGATAACGGAAAGTATAAGGAAGTTAGAGGATTACACTAACCACCTTGGATATATGATATCCACGGTAGGTGAATGGTCGGACAAATTGCGTAGTGGCCCACCAAACCTCAGGAACCAGCTCGCAGACACCAATAGAAGAAACGAATGTTTGGCATAAGAGAAGCTGTCCAGTGGAACAAAATGTATCCACCGTTAAGCTTGCTGATAATATAGAACTTTCGACTCACGTGAAATTCCTCAACGGAATGATCTGTTATCGTTTATACAAATAATTTTCAAAGCCGATTTGTTGCGTTGGCAGCTAGGTAATAGACTAAGTTTAAATGTCTTCCGCTTAGCAAAATCTTAGAGAATTTGTACTTGGGAACACGCGGTAAACTTTATGTGTAAATAAAAGCTATTGTGGTGAGAGATGGTTGCTAGCCAAATTGGTTGACAGTAATTGAGGTCAATGTTAGTCATGTGAAAACAAGGGCAAGATGGACAGGCGGATACAGTTAACATATAGATGAACTGACACAGCCACAACAGATGCAAGGTTAACTTTGTGTGAGAAACAACCAATCAACAGACTGTATTTTCTACTAACATTAACCTACAATAATGTACATCAAAATCTATAAATACGTGTTGATTTTCCGTAATAAACGTTCTGTTGCCTGGCCCTTGTCTTCTGTTGTTACACTATGACTAATCAGCTCTTCGTGTGTAAGCTTAAACTCAGCAGTTACCTACTGAAGGCTGCCAAGTTGCTTAGGAAAGTCGTCCTTGCATTTTTGAGTCAAATGCATTTGACCGCATTCAGTCTTCCAACTTGCTGTCCAATCAGTAGCAGCACTACTCTCGCGTATGAAAACATTCCCATAAATGCAACCCTTTGTTATCAAAGAGGAGCAAAAGATTAACCAGTAGGAAAAGTGGAATTACTCCAAAGCACCGATTGGAATCACGAGAACTGTCCTGTTGTAGCTCAGGTTTAGCTAATATAAACTTATAGAATCCTCTGTCACCCTAAAAGACACGTAGTCCCTAGTCTACATGCAAGTATTGTAATTGACGAATAATAATTTGGTGGAAAATAAGTGGAGATCACGAATTCATTCAGTTACTTTTAACTGAACCGTTTAGAGGTTTAAATGACCTCCAGCAGAGATGATGTGATACAGGTTGAACAGAGAACTTCGGGGAAGACCCAAGTGGAAATTCGTTAACATATGTAAAGGCACGTGCCTAAATGTACTTATAAACTTCCCCCTTTTCATGAATTGCCCCCCATTTTGTTCATTTCCTTTATCGTGAATTTCAAGGGAACTATTTATTGGCCTGCCGCCTTCCCGAACTTCTGTAGCTGTACTGCATTCAAGATTTCTGCCTTCGTCAAATGACTGATGTCCACTGGCAGTTTAGTGGCTACCGGAGGCATTTCTGGACAAGGTGCAGGTGATGGTAGATTCAAAAGTCCATTGAAGTGATCAGCCCATCGTTCTACTTGTCTCTCCTTCTTGGCAATCAGGTTCCCTTCACCATCTTTTATTGGTTTCATCATCTGGCTTGATCTCTTCCCGGATATATACCTGGTTATTTGACATAATGTTCTGTGGTCCCTTTTACCTGCGGCCAGCCTGTTCTGCTTCAGTTGCCGGCAAGTGTGTTGCAGAAATGCCTTTTGTCTTTCCTGGCACTCTTCTTCGCTTCTTTGTTCAGTGCAGTGTACATTAAAACCAGCTTCTCCTTCGGTCGCCTATCTTTGCATTGAGTCATCTTCTCTTTCACCATCCTCTACTCCTCACTTCTATTAGTTTCCAGGTAGGTGTTCGTTGAGAGCCATTCCTTATCTTGTCTATTCTTTCTTCCTAAAACAGTTGCACACGCTTCCTTGAAAATTGCCTTCCGAGAACTCCAATGTTCTTCAGTGATGCCACGTAGCGTATCCGACTTCGCTCTGATGGATGCAGCAGAGGCATTTGTTGGAGTTTCGCCCTTCAGTTTAATATAATATTATATATTTCACATAAATTAAGCATTTACATGATTGACATACCGTTTGTACAGGCATGATCATATTTGACAAGTGCAATTTGAAATGGGACACTGTTTTATGACGTTAAAAATTAGAAAAATGGAAAAAACCTCTAGAAACTTTATAAGAATAGATTACAATATATTGGTTTAAGTCTAAATTATGATCTATAATATACTTATAGTCAGTCAAATTCATGCGGGAATTAAGAAATGTTGCGTTAATGAAGGGTAAGAAGAGAGGTGATACACAGGTGCTAGAGTAAGACACACATGATACAGGCCTTTTAATCATTATCATTTTATCAATTAATAAAAGGGCCAAGTTAAACTTTAGACACCAATAACTACCAATCAGCGAACGACGTCGAATTATCCAATGAGATTTACGAACGTAGTTCAATGTTGTATAGCGCTTGATTCATTTACAATGCGTGCTCTTACGAGGTTACGTTTACAATTCGAGGAGGATAGTGTCTTTCAGTATTGCCTGGACTTAGGCTTGCTTCGAAAGGAGAGAAGTTGTTCCTGTGGTGGTGTAATGACTCTAAAAAGCTATACGAGGTCAACTGGTGGATTTGTACATCGCTGAGGAGTATGCTGGAATCGAGTTAGTATTAGAGAGGGTAAGCTGCTAATTTTAATATTTCGTAGGAACGTTTTTTGCTAGGTCGCATCTCTCCCTAACCCAGATTTTGTATATCCGTAACCATTGGTTATGAAGCAGCCAGTAAGAGCGGCAGCTGCGGAGACGGAGAATGGCCTCGTCTCAACAGTCCAATGGTATCGGCACTGTAGAGACATCGCCTCATGGAAAATGGAGAGAATCACTTCGTTGTTAGTGGGGAAGACGTAGTAGTGCATGTGGATGGGACAGTGTTGGTGAAGAAGAAATATAACCGTGGTCGTCATAGAGCAAACAACATTTGGCTAATAGGTTTATACGGCACGTCCCTCCGAAAAGGATTTATTGCAAGAATATCAGACAGGAAGGCGAGTACTCTGATACCTATTATAACGCGACTTGTGAAAAGAGGATCAATTGTACATACCGACGAGCGGAAAGGTTACGATTCATTTTCATCCCTGAGATACATTCACCACAGAGTGAACCACTCAAATGATTTCGTGGATCCAGTTACAGGGACTCATACGAATTCCATTGAAGGATTCTGGGGTTTGATTGAAAAATAGGATCCGGGCTATAAATAGATCGAAAAGGATCTGATTTATAGTCATTTAGACGAATATATGTATAGAATGCGGTGCGACTTCTCAATTGACAGTCCCATGCTGAATTGGGAGATGTTCCTGTCCTATGTTCGGGAAAGATACCCATTGTAACCGTTTTATCCTTTTTTATGCATTTTTTATAAATATACGCTTCCACTTATCATAAACGCCTCTTTGATGTAAGTGGTCCATTCAAGGTCGTTTGCTGATTGGTTGTTATTGGTGTCGAAAGTTTAACTTTGCCGATAAGGGTTCAAAAATTGATAAAAATCTCCAGTAGATGGTCAGTAGAGCATTATTTTGGTATTAACAGATACAACTTGTCAAATGCATCCATTTCGCCAATAGCCTGTCGACCCATGATGAGTTCTCTTCCTGTATTGCCTGCTCCTATTTAGGCATTCATGTCGTCCATAGTGATTTTGATGTCTCCATTTGGGAAGTTGTGCATGACTGTTTGCGGCTGTCCGTGAAATTCTTCTTTTATCTCTTATTCTAAGTTCCTTACAGGTGCGTAGCATTGGGTAGCTGTAACCTTCCTTCCTCTTGAGCTGAATAATGCTGTCGCAGTCCTGGTTCCCACTGAATTAGAGCTTTGGCTGCTGATGATGATATCATGATAGCCACTTTCTCAGTTTGTTCGTGGTTGTCGTCTGCGTGACCGGAGTAGACTGCTGACTCACCAGTTGAAAATTCTGATAGTCCACATCCATTCCACCTGCTTTCGCAGT